GGGGAAGAGGCCGAGACACTGTCACAAAGGGCGCACAGGACGACTCCGTACAATGCGCGCACATGCTGGCAGAGGGCGGGGATGCCCGAGCGCGTGCGATCCTGGGTGGGCTCTGTTCGAGGGGCCCCGCAGGGGCGCTCACACGAACACGCGCGCGCACACACATACACACACACACACACGTAAACACACACACACACACATACACATACACACACAAGGCAATCATGAGGAAGCGCCTGTACACTCGAATTAATATCAAGCAGAAGGGGCGCACTGAGCAGAGGCACCACACCTGCCGGACGGAGAGGGGGAGCGAGTAAAAAAAGTCCCGGCGAGGGCGGGGGTGGACCAGAAAGAGCGCACGCGCCGCCATGGTGAACGGGGGGGGGATGCCGTCGTCATGCTTCCCACTTGTCCGTGGGCCGGGGGGCACACACGGGGGATGGGACGCCCCCGGAGGGACGGGGACATTGACACCGGAGTTGGGGGGGGGGGGCCAGGCCCGAATGGCGTCTCGATCGCGGGCGCATTCAGCGGAGGCCGGCGGCGTCGCCTCCGCGCGGGCAGCGGGCCCCACAGCGGGGCGGGCAACACCTGGCATGACACATGCGCTCGTCCCTCCGCGCGCATATACGTGCATCTGCGTCCGACCTCCTCATACACACAAAGGACGCACAACACACACACACACAGACACAGACACACACTCACATCTACTGAGACCTGAGCACAACTCTACCCCCCGGGGAGATGGGGCGGGGGGGGGGGGGGGGGGGGGGGGAGGGGCGATGTGGGATATGGACACACACACACACACACACATGCGCGCGCGTACACACACACACACACACTTTTCCGCCCGCACTTGGGCGGGGACAAAAATAGGCGCGGAGCCAGGGGCGGCCAAACATACGCGTGCGCGGTGCGTGACCTGCGCACGTGACAGGCGAGGGAGCACTGGCGAACATTCGGGCGTACCTGGGGGCAATGGCTGCGAGGGCGATGGAAAAATGTCCGACTCGGGCGGAGTCTCTCGAACGAGGAGAGGGGCTGCGTGTCAGTGCGCGCGCGCGCGCGCGGTCCGGCGTGGGTCTGCAAGAGCGTCCGGCGTCGGCTGGCTCTCTTGAAGGGGGGGACGTGTTCTCCAGGTCTGTCTGCCTGTCTGTCTCAGAGGCGCATGCACTTGCCTGCTTACACGGTGTGTGGGCGCGCGGAGGTGTGTCGGCGGCGAAATGCCGGGTGGCTTCCTCCCTTGGGAGCGTCTGCCGGCCGGGACACATATGGCGTGGAGCAGTCAGTGGCATGGTCTTTCTTGTGCTGCGCTGCGC